GATATCAACAAAGCAATCGTTGGGAAACCAGAATTCTTCCTTAACTATCACTTCATAATGTCATCAAGAACAGAACTCGGTTTCATGGAGAGTGAGTTACTGTTTAGATTGAGAAGTCGTGATCTCATGAGTTACATTTTTAACTTTGTGTGATTCTTTATGGATTGTAATAATTTTCGATTGTTAATAATAGTAACTGGATTGGTTGAAGTCAGACATTAACACCGTTGGATGCCGACTCAGTGGTCTGATGGTTAAGTGCTCGCGCGCGAAACCGGTAGGTCAAGGGTTCGAACCCCGCGGGGTGCGGGATCGTGGATGCGCACTGCTGAGGAGTACCATACTAGGACGAAACGGCCGTCCAGTGCTTCCAGGTTTTCCATGGTGGTCTAGTTTCAACTGACTCATGATCTTAACCATTGTAATTACTATAATATCCATAAAACCCATCTGATAATAATGTTGAAACTATCTCAATATGGAGAGAATATGGTACATACCCGACCTGCTACTTTTTATTCCAAGACTTGTGTATATATTAGGTCAAACTGAGAGTAAATACGATTGTTTTTTACTATGCTATTTGGTCTGATAGTAATATGTATAGATCAGATGAATTCAGAAATTTGATAGTTTGCTTCATGGACTAATCTTGATTATCAGTATGGAGATTTGTGGAAATTGTAGTACTTTCACAACTGAAATCGCGAGTCGATCTAAGCTAGAGCACTATTGAAAACTAGACAGCACAGTTTGATGGCCGTTTTGTCCTAGTATTGAACTCCTCAGCAGTACACATCCACCACCAAGCACGCGGGACTCTAATACACGACATTTGGTCTGGCGTGCGAATGCTTGACCTCTAGACCAATGAGTCGGCATCCAACGGTGTTAATGCCTCACTTCGATCGATCCATGATCTTGCGCGACGCTTCATCCATTACCTGAGGTTCGAGATCCGCGTGCAGCCCGTGAATGTGTACTGCTGAGGACACCCATACTAGGACGAAACGTCTGTCTAGTACCTCCAGGTTTCCGATGGTAGTCTAGCTTAGATCGACTCGTGATTCCAGCTGTGATAATCTTAATTAGATAAATGCTGGAAACGAGGAAGCATTGAATAGATAAACTAGAAGCATATCAGGTAGTTGTCGAGAATTGATTGAAGGTAGGGATGTACATCATTGGGTGCTGGCTCAACGGTCTAAAGGTTATGGGGTCCACCGAGAGACCTGAATTCGATCCTCAGTGGGGTAGTGTATAAGCACTGCCACTATGATGTGCCACGCAAGGACTAAGCAATCGACCAGTCCTTTCTGATTTTTAATGATCCTATAACTAAGACCATTCCTTCAATGCAAACTATAAAAATTCAACCATCTCCATAAACCCATACAGCAAAACTTTAGTATTCTAAATTCATACTTAATTATTTTTAGTCATAGACTTTCATTTTAAAAAGCTGTGTAAATTTATCTCCTATTTAGAAAAATTTCAAATACTTCAAAGAACTTATCACTGTAGTAACTTTTCAATTTATGTTTAATTTGCAATGAAATCTACCATTAACAGTTATTCAATTTGATTATGATAACAACATAACGGCTAGGCAACATTAACATTTTTTGAAATATACTAAGAATATATATTTTTAAGAGAATTTTGTCCAGTACGTGATATTCTGCTTAAGCATATCAGTGAATCATTGTTTTCTGTGTATGTGACTTATCTTTAGAAGTTGACTGTGAGTGATGTGTGTCGGTATTTGTATTAAATGCAGACACACAAAGTAACGCTCGCAAGCAAGCGTACTTACACACATACAGGTTTTTGTTATAGTTGTGATCATAAGGTTTATCTTGGAGTGGTTGAATGAGGAGTAGGTGTTTTTTGGAAACGAATATGAGAAAAAATATTTATTACTTATTTATTTAATGTTTACTCCGAACTGGTAACTATGACATAACAGAGAAAGCAATTGAAAATATTTATCGGGTAGTGATTATTGAAGGATAAATGAGATGATAATCGTGTTACATGGCGAATCAACTTGAATTGTTAGTATTTTGCGTTCAACATAGTAAACACCTCCAAGAACACTCAAAACTAGACAAAAAAAGTATGACCACAAATCAACATTATGTGGAGAACCGTCGATAATTTCTTGAAAAAGTTCAAAAAATACACAGAAAATACGTAGAAAAATCAGATTTCTTTAGAAATTTTCAAGAGGATTTTAGAAAATAGTGAATCATATTCTCATTGTCCTGTTTAAATAAGTATAAATTCCTATTGGCATTTTCATGAATCACGAGGTTTTCTAGCTCGTACTAGTATGGGACTCCTCAACAGCGTGTATCCGTAACTATGTACGTGAGAGTCAAACCTAGGACTATCAGTCTCAGGTGCAAACGCCAAACCTCCAAACTCAGTGTTGTTTATTCTGAATTTGGCGTTCAGGTCCATCATCAGGATGGTAAGGTCTTTTCTTAGACAGTTCTCTATGATAAACTTAGGCACTGGTTGACATTCATTGTAATCTGTTCCTATTTTGTTCTACATGATACCATGGTGATCCTGGAGCCATGAGATTCCTATCCTAGAAGTGCTTTTCATGATTCTTCGGAGAGCACCAATGCAACTCCTTGTGCGTGCGAGGAATTTTCATGGCCGTAATACTTCAGCATGTCTACTGAAGCTAGTCTGTTTTGTCCGGCGGATTTCACTAATTTCAAGCAACGTCAGGCTGTATATTCTCATTTCTGCAGCCATTCGAATGGTTTTACTTATCTTCAACATTGTGTGAACACTCCATGTACCTGCTTCAGTTATTACTCAGACTATCAGAAGGGTAATCGCCTTCATGACTTCCAAAAAATCTCGGCTTTCATCATGAAGCGATACGACTCGTTCAAATAGAGACTCTTCAACTCTCAGGGCAGAGTTTAAACGGTTCAAATGATATTTTCTGGTTGCCATTTCCTTAGCAATGTTCTTTTATCTCCAGGTGGAGTTAAGATATGTCATTTTAAATCTCAATAAGAAATTTTTCAGTTGATTTAAACACACCTCACAACTTGTATTCGAATCTAAGAAACGAATAATTTGGTTTATTTTTTGCGAGGTTCTAATTTCATTCAGTCAGGAATTATTAATAAATCTGTAAAACATCAGTATAAGGGTTAACGGAAATTGTTGAATTTTCATAGTCTACATCACGGACTGACATTAACTAAAGAACGATTAAAAGTTAGGTAAGACTGGAAGCCCTTTCATTATAATCTGGTACTTCTCAGGAATGCATATCCGCAACCCGGCTAGAGATTGGACCCGATATCTTCAAGTCTCCTAGTGAAACCTTAACCTTTATACCAATAATTCACCACTGAGTTCGATCCTCAGCAGAGTAGTAGATGCGTACAGATGTAAAGAGTCATACTAAAGCGAAATAAACACTCATTGTCTCCTGTTTCTCAATAGTTGGCTAACTAATGCAGTCCGTGATGTAAACTATAAATTGTCAGTAACATACATGTTCTATCGAAAGGATGAACGAAACAAGTTATTACTATCTTTTACTGTTACCATCTGTAATAATTCATTTTGTGATCAATATTGTTCAATGTCACTGAAATTAAGGTCAACTTATCCTACATTTGTTAGGCTTGGACTGGTTCATTTTCTCATATACGAAGTTACACACAAACACATCCAACATACTGATTCAAACTTATGCCAATCTATTTCCCACCAAAATTAAAAAGTCAATTTTAAACAATAAATCATTGAAAATACACAAGTATGTATGCGTGATTAAATACATTAATTATCATTAAGTTAATGTGTATAGTTAAAGTACTATGACCTTAAGTGACCAGTACACATACAATAATAATGATAATATAAGGTTGGTGATGACATTTAAAGATATTTGTTTAACCTGAAAAAAACAATTAGTAACCAAGATATCCCAGTTACTAAAAGTACACACTATAGTTCATATATGAGGTCAAACTAAGTAATCTCAAACTTTTAGGTACATTCATCATCTATATTAATTGAGCTGATATCATTGTGCGGGTGGGTCACTCATACTCTTCTTTCAAACTTCTCTTATACTAGCATATCATGAGGCTTTTGCATAAAACACCTTGGATATTTTCTCATTTTGAGACAATTTTCGTCACTAATTGATATCATCTCAAGAACGATTTAATACCGGAGAGATTGAGACAACTGCTTGATCTTAGTGTGAAACTCTTCAACTAACTCTTCAAACCAAACTCAGAAATGTTCAGATCTCACTATGTACACCTGAATTTCAAAACACAAGGCTGGATTCTAATAAGCAATATTTAGAACTTCCGTTCGCGATAATTCTGAATAGATTTAACTGTAAAACCTTATTAAGCAAAGATGGAAAATGGTCAGCAATGGAATCCAGGACGCGCGTTTCGTCCTATTTGGGACTGGTCAGCTGGATGCACCTGCATCCCAGAGTTGATATTCAATCCGAGATTCGAACCCACTACCGTTCGCTTCCAGCCAGCGAGCTCCAAATGGGACAAAACGCGCGTCCTGGATTCCACTGCTACCCACTATCCATTTTTTCTCAAAAAGATTGTGACTCAAGGCTATATCGAGGTGATTCGCACAGGATGCACATGTGCCAACATGAGACTGATCAATTGCAGTCCTAAGTAACAATGGGAAGATACAAGTAAAACAACACCAAGTGAATGTAAAACATTATTATTATTATCAAAATTAGCTTTTGAACTGTCCTTTGCACAGGAAGACTAGATAATTTTGAGTCGTTCTAAACAGCATCAAATGACACAATAGAAGTAGGGCAACCAGTGATTAAAAAATTGTATATAGTCTATTTACAAATATCGACCAATCACGAAATGGGAAACATGAACCAATCAAAATCTTCCCCATAAAATCATATTTTTATACACCTTAAAATTATACTCAACAGAACATTTGAAAATAATTTACCATTAATTCATTAACTTTTTATGCCCAAAATCATGTCACATATAAATTATAGTTCAAATACATCAGAATCAGATCTGAATGAAATATCATTTTCATTAATTGATTCAAATGAAGAGCAAGAAATTAGCTATGAAGAAGTAGAAGAATTAAAAAATGAACTGATATTCGAGACAGAACGACGAAGAGAATTGCTAAAAAATACACAAACAGTAGTAACCACATCAGGATCTTTATGTTCATTATCTTTGTCAACTACAACAATGGCGATAACATCATCATCACCACCACCACCACCCATGTCATCATTTTCACCACAGAAACAATTGCCACTGTCCAGTAGTCAATTGACTTCATATAGTGAAACGAATAGAAAATGTTTGGCTACAACAAAACATGATCGTCGAATGGCTAAACAAATGACAGAGCGAAAACGACGTGATCGTATCAACGCGTTATTAGATAATTTGAGGACACTTATTTTGAAATTATTGCATAAAAATGTAAGTTCTGATCTATTACTTATTTCTGTTAGTAGCAGTAGTACTACTATTTTTAATTTATCTTTATTAAATCAACTAATTATTAGCTATAATATGTTCATTTTTAATGATATCAGATATTGAAATTAAATAATCGTCTTCATACTTAATTAATCTAAAGATAATTTCCAACTCTGAAGAAAGTTATTTGAATAATCATGTTTTCTTGATCAAAGATAATATTTGGCATAACAGTTAGCTAAAACACTCGATAACTGAAATGGAACTAGAACCTGACTCACAGAAATATGCAATATCGGCATAAGGTACTAAGTCATTAACATTCATCAACAGAGGTAGCAAGTGGATGTGCTGTGAATTCTAGACCAACACCCATCCTAAGCTTGAACTTTATTTGTTACAGTAAAGGATTAAATAAATTCGCAAGAACAGTAGATCAATTGATACTATTAACCGACGGTTTGAACACTGCCGGTAATTACAGAATTATGGGCTTGGTTCAACTCGACAGTCGTGATTTATAGCTAGAGACAATGGGTGATCCGATCAAAAATTCAATCTCAGTTTTATAGTAACAGTCATTCACTATGTTCCTCAAACTTTTGAGTTTAGTGTTCTGAAACTTCATTTTTGTTTGTTCCTTTTCAAGTACTTTATTTCTCGTGTTTAGCTTGTCATCAGAGTTTATATTAAATTCCCCACTGATTCTCATTTCATGCTATTCTAGTCAAAGATTTGGCTCATTCAATTGACACGTATACTTAATAAGTCCTATGTTGTCTGCGATTAAATAATCTATATTCATCCAAGCTACTTTTTAAATATTCTTCAAATCAGATTCCTTAAAATGAATTCAAACTACCACTTACTTTATTGTCTTCCTCAAGCTTGAATCGTTAAATTAAATGGCGTTTTTCCTAACTTAATGTGGAATAAAAGTGTTTAATCAATAATGGAAATTCTCAGTATAATAGTTAGATGCTCACTGGGTAACTAAGCATTTTTTCACTAATCCGTCTAAATGTAATTTAACCAGATAAAATAATTCCCTATGGTATTGAGTGATTTTTACTTTAGAAAGTCGATTGAAATTAAATTTGTGGATCAATGAAGTCAACACAATTTTATTATATTTAACTTGATCTTGAGTAGGGTAATGCTTACGAAAATGAGAAAACGAAAAAAAAATGTCCGGTGCTTAAACCGGGCTTGTGAGTACGGAGGATCCACTTAGGGGAGTTGATAAGCCCTACTTCCAAACCACTATTGCATATGCGCTTCAGGATCCTGAGAGAACAAATGGCATGTGAACCTGCTGTTCGTTTCTAGTTACCATGAGGACGAATCTACTAACATTGCTCCACTACCTTTTGGATTAGACCATTAGATGAAAGGCTTGGGTAGAGGCTTCCTTAGGAAACTACCTTTTTCAATTTGGGTGTCCGGGCAGTATTTCAGCCCTTATACACATCGAATAATTTGTGTGGTGCATATAGGTTTGGATCATTTCAGATTTACTTACTTGGGTGGAGAATGCTGGTGAGCAGCCTATGCTCCTCCACGAGGAGTAACAGGCGTAAGTAAGTAAAAGTAATATATGTTTGAATGCTTCTTCGTACCATTGTTTATGTATTAAAATTAAATAAATATCTAAGTATGTATTATTGACATTATCTTAAATGACTTTGAGAGCTTCCTGGTTAAACCATCCACTCCAGAAGACATAACACCTTCAAAATTTATACCATGAACTATAAATATTCATTATTAAATTAACCTGAAACAGATGTACAACATTCCAAAGTTTTTTTTAAAGGTTAAATTCAGTTTACACCATGAATTATTATAAAAAGATTATAATTATAGTATACAAAATGAATATATAAATTCTCTAAGAGGAAAATTTAAAAACTACTTATTTCTACACATCATTGAATATATTTATTCAATGTTAAATTTATCCAATGATCTATATTCCTTTATATGAATAGTGACAAGATATATTTATATCTTTGGTATCATACATAAATAGGGTTACATTGATAAATTTTCGCATAGTGAGTGTTCCCTACGTCAGAGCAACTGCAATGAAACTCACTTTTACTTTACTTACGCTTGTTACTCCCAATCGAGCATAGACCGCCGACCAGTATAATTTTTTTTTATTAGCGTTTTTTGGCGAGTTACTTTACTATGGGGTGGAGTTGCTAACCTCATGCCAAACCCTCCTCCTTTATCCGAACTTGGGACCGGTAGTAGCCCTCAGAGGAGCTCCAGGCGGAGTTACTACAATAAAATATTAAAAGAAAAAAAAACGATAGTGAAATACTCATTCATCATATCACATTATTAATAGTTTAAGTATTAAAAGAAAGCAACACTAACAAAAGACGTTAAATTAGAAATACGCAAATACTTTTTAAGAAAAAAACAGAACAGAATAAATGGACATATTGCACGTGTATAGTTAGTTATGTTTTTTTTTCCACACAAAAAAACAACAAAAAAAAGAGAAAGACAAATAGAGGAAAGAAAACAGTATCTATCACATTAAAGTTAAACTTAATATTCACTTATCAACAGATAGTTTACTTAGAAAAATGTTGTTTCTTTTTCTTCTTTGTTTTTTAAAAAAAAAGAGGATCTACTTGTTTTCATTGTGATTCATATAAAAGAAAAGATAAATATAAGAAATACTTATGATTTATTGTATTTTTGTGCTTAGTAATTAACATTTATCAATTTTGTTTACCTTTTTTTTCTGTATGTGACAATTTTAATTTAATTATTCTGTTTATTTTCAAGTGTACATGTATCAAAAACAGTTTTTTACTAGTCATTATTATATCTAAGCCATAAAATACGATCATTATTGATCCATGTAAACATTTAAAAATACAACATCTGTAATATATACATGGATCAATAATTCTTAAACACATACGCACTGCCTAATTCTCCCCACCCCCCACCTCTTTTTCTTTATATACATATTTATATTTTCTTTAGTAAAATAATTAAATATTTCATACACATACACAGGTGTTGTATTTTTAAATGGATCAATAATTATCTAGCGCATACGCACTGCCTAAATCCCCCCTCTGCTTATATATATATATATATACTCTTCAAATAGATCATTGATTAATGACCATTAAGTGTTTTTATATATAAATAATGGAAAATAATTGATACCTAGTTTATTTTTCCTACTTTATTTATTCTCCCTTAATAATTGACTCATGAATTCAACTATTAAATTACTATAATATCCACAATACCCCTGTCTGACTGTAATTATCATCAAATGTTCACTAGTGACTATCTCGAAGAGGTATTTCCTGAAGTTCTAATGAGAAATCGTGACTAGTAGAGTTCAACTAGATCTGTTGTGACATAGTAACTCATTGAAGACAATGATGGAAGGTGGGGCAATTTCCAGGATTGCTTGAAGTTAGAGATTAACACCGTTGGATGCAGGCTCAGTGGTCTAGTGGTTAAGCTTTCGCGGGTGAGACTGATAGGTTCTGAGTTTGAACTAGCGAGGTGAGGTGGTGGATATGTACTGCCAAGGAGGAGTCCCACTATAGAACCAAACGGCCGCCCAGTGCTTCCAGATTTCCAATGGTTATCTAGCTTCAATTGATTCATGAACTTAACTATTAAATTATCTATTTGATAATATAATACTTGTAAGAGTATTGAAACAGTTATCCGCTTTATAATTATTTGAATCATGACAAAAAGATAATCCATTATACGAGAGTGAATGGAAATTTCATGAAATTGCACTGTACTAATTTAAACAATCAATAGAACTAAATAATAAATAATATAATAATTGAGTTCATGAGTCAATTGAAGCTAGACCACCATGGAAAAGCTGGAAGTACTGAATGGCTGTTTCGTCTTAGTGTGGGACTCCTTATGAACTCGACTATTAAATTACTATAATAACCACAAAACCCCTTTCTGATAATAATTTGGATATTAGAAAAGTTTACGAAAAAAGATTATATCATTGTTAATTGGTATACAAACAGAAGTAACTTGTAAAGTAGTTGTTGACTTAAAAACCTATTTTTACATAAATTGACAAATTAATGGTGGTTATTAGAATTCAGCCAACAAATTTCATCTTCTCATTGCATTATTGAAACAAATATTGTATTAAATGGATAATGTTGTCAGTAGAAAGTAATGTACGACTTGAAACGAATATGCATATCGATCCAGGTTTACGTTATTATACCAATGATACAACGTTTATTAAAATGATGTTTACAAAAGAAGTTGGAAACTTATTGATTTTGAAACAGATTATACATGCAGGATATGATTACTAAAAAAGGGGGTTTGTGGTGGTGGTGGTGGTTGATAAATTTCATTGTTTTCATCATTGTGACATTATACTTCGAATGAAATTCACCAATCTCCACAAACCCCGTGTAGTAATAATAATTATGTACTCACTAATTTCTAGAGTTCTGGTGAGAAGCTTTAACCAGCGGAGTTCAACCATGTCAATAGTGAGGTAGTTGTTAATACCACGTCAAGTTGGTAAGCACAAAATTCAGTTTTATAATATACCATGAAATTATGTGAATAATTAGGATCAGTTAATTAATAACAATCTTCATTCAAGTTAGCTTACTGAGTGTTTAATTATAAACTCGACCTATTTGAATTCAAGACATATGAAACCAGTATAAATCAGACAGTACTTGACATATGTTCCAAAATATTATGGTAACTCTCCAGTTGTGTACATTTGGAACTCTTCTAGTGTTTTTCTTAAGACTTTAAGTTCTCACTAAATTTAGACGACTAAATCTACATCCAATCATTCGTATCTCCAACTTTAGGCACTTCATGACAAACTATGACATTATCCAATGGCATTTGTGATGACCATTTTATTGACTGCATGATCAGTTTCACTGGTTACGACTTGCCATTCAGTTTTTAGAAATTTATTTCAAAGTCACAGTCATTTAAGGTTTAAATCCTCACTGCCGAGAAGAGTCCTAAAAAGATGTAAAGTCCTATCTAGTTTGTAATAATCTTCCTATCATGAATATCTTTGTGTATTTTTTCACTTTAAACAACAGTTTAAAATACATATATCAATGATCCAGTACAAAACAAGAATAAATTTTGATAACTTGAAAAAGATGACCGCTAACATTTCTTCCCCCATCCTACATAGAAACATATCGTCACCTCAAACAATTTAAATCTTATCATTTTATTTTTTTAATCATTAAACACCATACTACTATAATGGAACAGCTTTTGTTTAATGATATTAAGTATTCTAACAAAAGTTAATAGTTTACGTTGAAACCATAGCAACAATAAAAGTCAATCAAAATATTTTGTTTGATTAATAAAAGTACACAATGTTCTAAGTATACATTTTGATGTTACATGTTACAACATGTAAATCAGAGGTTAATAATTAAAGTTAGATTATAGGTTGGTATTATTTTTTATTGTGTAGGAGTGAAGTTAAAAACTGATTAGATCTCTTAATTCTGATTACTGACCAGGAAAAACTGTTGATTTATTATTCTGTTCTCCGAGTTAAGTGGTCTAATTGCTATTCTGTAGAATATTATCAGTATCTAATTCTACATGTTATCCAGTCTTAGTGAAAACTCTACGATTAAACCATTGTTACACCCGCGTACTTGAAAAACGAGGAACCACTACAATTCCAATGACGTGAATAAAGAACACGAAAAACATGCACAAGTGAAGATTTATTCACCCCGAAAACACAACGACGACCCTAGTCGAAAATATACTCATAATTCATTTTGTATCATTAGTTTAAATCTTCCCATTGATGTTTAGAACTGCAATTGATTAGTCTCTTATTGGCATATGTGCATTCTGTGAGGATTACCTCGATATTGCCTTAAATCACTAACATTATAAACAAGGATGAATAGTAGCTAATAGTGGAATGCAGAACTCGCGTTTCGTCTTATTTGGGACTTATCAGCCGAATGTACATGTATTTCAGAGTTGATATCCACTCCACCTGACTATTAATTAGGGAAAAGTCACACATATGAAATCACAACGAAATTTCATGTTGCATTACATGATGAACATAATTCACATTAACTTAATACAAAGATTATTGTAGCTTAAGTAAACATCAACTCGTCATATCAATCATCTGGCTTGGAGAATGAAAAACATCATCGAAAGCATCCATTCGAGTTTTAAGTTTTGATCACATGAAAAAGTTAATGTACGCACTAAATTGAATATATTTGTGTAATTTTCTGGTGTTGATAAAGAATTACGTAATTCAATGTGATTTCTGACCACTCTTATCGTTTCTCCTCGGAATTGAATAATTTAATTTTGTTTTCATTATATCATCAGTGGCTGATTAATGTTTCAGTCTTTCAGTTCTACATGAGGTCAAGTGTGATCCGAATAGCCTATTGGTAATATCTGTTTGTGAGTGTGATATTTACTTAGTTACTTACACCTGTTGTCCTAGGATTCCATTCCAAAATAAAGCGATGAGATGAAATTTTCAAGATTAATAGCCAAACAGATCTGAATAATTTAGTTATAATGAAGATAAAAAGTATAAAACATTAAGAGTATCTTACGGAAAGGCGGAATAAAAATGAATGCATTAAGAAATACTGGAACCGAAGATCTAGGGGAAGCTAAAAAATGAATTTGAGACATATCACAACGTTTTCAATCATTGATCGCCGTTGGCACATGCATCCCAATCAGATATTCCGCATCTACCAACAGTTATTTCCCTTCATGTACTGATGCCACGTTTGTGTTTAACCGCCTCTAGCTTTATTACAATTTACACCCAAAATAACAAACATCTCCCGTTCAAATAGGCGGTGGTTAAGCATACTTAACACATGTCTCGTCCACCTTAAAAGATAACGATTCCCTATCTCATCAACCGCATTTACCTAGTGCCTTATGATTACTCGATGTTCTCAATATACACGACCAATGCTTCGAAGATACTTATTATCAAAATTCCTCAGCTAATACATATCTTCTAATTTCGTAGACCATAATATTGCATACTCACAGATTACTACATAACGAACTTCTGAACAGTAAATCCACTTTCTGGTTGGTAGATGGACTTCTCTACACCACAAGTAATGTCAGTTTGCAAAGACCAATCTATGATATAAATATGTGCATATACATATATATATATATCAGTTTACTAATTAACTCATCAATTATCTATTTATACATTTTAGCCACGTCATCATCGGAAATTAGAGAAAGCTGATATTTTAGAACTGGTTGTTTCGTTTCTTAAAAAAGAATTACATCAAAATCGTTTTAGAACAACATCGTCTAATTCACAACAACAACATCAGGACAACTGTAGATCAATTTATTCATTGCAAAATTTAAATTATTCTTCAGGAATTGAATCATCATTAGCATCTATAGTTTATCCTGATAATCATAATAATTATTATCAACATCGTTTAATACCATCAATTCCACAATCAAATAATCAATTAACAAATAATTATTATTTTATGAAAAATCATGATAATGGTCCATCGAAAATCAATAATTATCCCATTTCTAATCATATTGAACAGAATACTAAAAGTGTTTATCCAACAATATCATATCAACCATCGTATAAACATCAACATCAATCAATACCGTCATCTCACTATTCCCAATCAACAAGTTATCAACCAATTGTATTTACGTCAACAGATGATATGAATAAGGAAAATCAATTGATAACTGGTGTTGGAAATCTGCAAAACCACACGAATACACCAATAACAAAAGATTTACATTATTATCCGACGTGTAATTATGACGATTATACATTTGAACAAGATGCAGTCCGTCAACCATTGAACATATTGAATAAAGCTAATAGCTTCATTGGTCAAAACAACTGCTACTATTCAGATTCTAAAATAATCAACCAAACATGTCACCATCAGATTCAACCGACTACACACTCGAAAATTTATCCAGATATATTAAATAGTCATTTAAATTATAAACTATTGCCAATCAAAGATGAGAATTATTCAAAATCGTACCCATACAATAATTACGATGTTGGTAACCAATCATTTCGTAGTGTTATTAATCATGAAAAGAACAATAGTAATGATAATAATAGTTCAGTTTTCACCTTTGGTAATGAAAGACTAAGTTCAAAAGAAACGACAAGTTTTGAAAGACTATGGAGACCATATGTTTGAATTTTAATCCGTCTCATTTATATTTATGAAGCGTGATTATAAGCCATCAATTTATTTGTAATTAATCATTTATTTACTAATTTTTCTACTGTTAGTTTAAAATAGCTAATACATAGAATGTCAACAATTTATTGCACATCATACACTGCCCCATTTTCTTGTCTATTTTGTATGAGCTACTGAAAAATATTTGAGTAGTGTGAATTTACTTTTGGAATATATCTGTATTAATACAACGACTAATATAAGTAATCGGTTTCTGTATTTGGTTTTTCATAAGTAGTGCGTAAAGATTGAGTGAAACATTTTCAGTAGCTAATTAGTATATTAATGAATGTCATTCATACTTGATTTTTTAAAGAATACTGATTTCAGGAAATAATGAATATTATTACTGTGTAAACAAAGTCGCTTTTAAATTATTTTGTACAGTTTATAAAGATCGTATGACATCCATATCTACTCCTTGAATTCAAATAAATATAGATGAAAGCTTAGTTAACAACACCAATTGTTATGAACTATAACACATTCAATTAATAATAAACTACTGTATGACTATCGAAACTCGTAGATTGAAATACTAACTGTAATTTATAGCAAGGACTAACTATACCTGGAAAATCATTGAGAAAGATAACGGTGTAGCACTGTGATTTTCAGGTAGTAATGGTCGTGCAATTTAGTGGCTTAAGATGTCATCAGATATGGCTCAGAGTAGAAGCGAGTAGTAACCCTACTGCGTTTTCTATTACACAGCGGATCAATGTAACAGGATTTGTCGAAATATTGATATCTAGGTATTCAGTGGCTTGCTCCAATCAATAAACGATACCTCGTGAATGTTACCCAGTGTGTAACTGCCTAACACTGGATGTGGTTTAAATTTACCGATTACAGCTACTCACCAGGTCTACGGTAGTTTATAGTAAGATGAGGCGTGCAAACTTGAATTAGTGAATGTCCAAATTATTACTGTTAATAAGTTCCTGACCCATACTTCATTTGAAACGACTTATTTGTAAGTAATTTCAAGTTATAATCTTAGTGCAGCTGTGACGTGAAGTCTGCTTTTCATTAATTTCTATTCTTTGTTTGACAACCAAACAGAGTAATGTATACATAGACACTTAGAAGAAGCACTCTTCGTGAGTCTGGTATACATTAACCCTCAAAATCAACAACACTAACAAAAGCAAATCGAAGTAACACGAAGCGGCAATTTGTACCTGAAATGTTCACGAATCGTGCACGAACTAGAGGAAATCTTAAGCTCTACAGAATAGATTAATCCTAGATAGATTGAAGCTTATATTTTCGGACCTCTACTGAACTTCACTATTAAGTGTTATGTTCAGTGCAATCCTTACACGCAAGTTTTACCTGCCATATAGCCCTCAAAGAAAAACGTGATCTACTCAGCTTTTCTACGCATATCTACAAAGTAATCATTAACTGTGCAGTGAACCGTTTAGCCTGGTGATTTGAATATGAATATGTTAGGATAGCACAAATACTAAATATTTGCATGAGTCTATCAAGTTTATTGGTGGTTGTATTATTGGTTGTGGCGCATATATATTTGGTGCCCTCTTGTACCAATATTTATGTGTTCAAATAATTAAATAAATGTGTTATTGGTGTATATTCATCTGACCTTCGAGGAGGAATAAAAAGTCAAGTTCATCTTACTACTTAATAACACCCAACCTTGGAAAAAAATATTTTTTCTGCTTCAAATTGATTTTATTTGTACCAGTAAATGTAGTTAGTCATCATTCCCTTCTATAAAATTCGTTGGAAGTGAAACTTCGAGACTATATATGATGCAGTTGTGATGTAGTAAAAAAGAACACTAGTGGGGACAATCGAATGTATTTAACACAAAATCACAGGACTCGTTAATAAAATCTAACAATCATATAGTAAATGCTTAACTGGCAAAATGTTCATCAATTGTCTCAAAATGACTCAAACTTCATTGTTCTTGCATTTTCATACAAATTACATTCTGTTCACGACTAACGTCATATACTTCTTATGCCGATATAAGTAGCACACACCACAGTGAAACTAATTGGCTTATAACCGAAAATGAACTTTAGTATAATATCACTTAGTCTATTATTTTCATCATAAATGATGAAAATATGATTTATCGATTGTTGATGAAAGCAATGTACTTTCTAGACTAACTATGAAACAAAATACAGCGTAGATACAACTACACCATTATCTGTTTGCTCGTAACATTCACAGCTATATATTAATCTTCAGTTATAGGTGCATCTTGAGAGTTCTTTCAAAGTTCACCTGAAATACGGATGTCGAGGTCTTTCTAATTTCTGATATTATTAATACATAACTTATTCATTAAGTACGGGTTTATGTAATCATATTTAAGCGATTGTACTTGTGTGGGAGCTCATCAAACTATCATATCATTGCATAAGACAGATACGGTAGAATCAAATTATTTCTATGGGGAGAACACCTCCAAAACAACGTCTAATGATAACATTATTTTCTATAATACCTAAAATTTGGTTGTTGAATCAACGAAATCAAAAGACTACAGATTTGAGTTGATTAAATTTTGTAAACGATATTATGGATTGGTTTTAGTAAAACGTCTAATGAAAATCAGGAATCACTGGATGACTGTTTCGTCCTAAAAAGGACATTTTAGTGGCAGTGCTCATTCAAGACCTGACAGGGGATCGGACCCAGGAACTTCGAGTCCAGAAATTGAATATTATTATTATTATTTACAGAAAAAGAAGTGATGGTATCTGCTGACAGAAAAACAGAATACCCACTTGTTGTGGATTGTATCATATAGTTGGAATGCAGATGCATTCAGCTGACAAGTGCCAAACAAAACGAGACCTAAGCACAGAATCCCACTGTCAGCTACCATCCAATCTTACAAGTTTACTTACTGTTTTAGATGCACAATTTTTCGCGTTGTCACCTACAAATACCATTTAGTTCTTGAGTTCATGGAAAAATGGTTGTAAGATCAACATACGGTTATTTTATGTACTGAACTTTTGTTATAATTAACCACAAATTAATTGTCATAAGTAGTAGAGAAAGACCTTTCGGAAATGTATGATTTACTTCTCTCATATTTCAAATAATTATTCATGGTTAAATTCAACTTTATGATATATCAATTGTCCACGTATTTTCCTGGTTAAAACGAAATAAATAGATTGTCTTGTGAGTTTAAAATGAACCCAACTTGATACTTAGTAATTTTATTGAATCTGATAAGCTACTTATTGCTATAATGAGTAGAACATTTGAATATAACGGAAAAGTGTTTGACAAACTTTTTGTCTAGGAAATTTACCTAATATAGGTCTTTGCAACGAGATGATTTAGAGCTTGAAAAGAGTGCTGGTGTAGGATTTTTTTAAAAAGAGAACTAGAGTTAGCCAAACAAAGACATGGTATTGGTTTAGGAGGTCATTGACTGTTGGTCCGAGCCATGTTAGTAGATGCAGACTATTTCGTTGGGGTCCGCGGGTTAACCGCGATAAGTATTTGGAGACGCGTATGAATTCATTCCTTATCTTTCTCTCGATCTTGTATTTAAACTTTTTCATACATACCATTTTACTCTGTCTTTATTCTCAACGACTAGTTTGGTTATATTGTTATTTCCACTACATTATGTCGATTGCTTAAGCTGTACATAGTTATCACGCCGTGTCGATATAGTATGATAACTTGACTCATATCATATCCATGCCAGGTTCTACTTTGATCACAGTCGTTTATCACGAAAAAGATCTCATCTTCCACTGAAACAAGCAATATACTTATAGTTTACTCTAATTACTGTTTGGTTTTGAAAGAAATCCTATCGATCAGAGAAAGCAATACACACGAATATGGTCACTTTGTAAAAGAGAAAAACAGTTTGTGACAGTAGTGTTTACAGTCTGAAAGGGATTTGAAGGTGGTTTACAATTATCATGTCATCTTTTAATAATACTGTGATTAGTATTAATCAGTAGTTGTATGTGTTTTACTGAAGATGACAATTAATAGAGAGAAGTAAAATCCGTCACTGCTAAGTGATAATTGCACATTCATTATTTTTGCTTTCTAAATTAATTTGGCACGTAAACGGCCAAAAGGTGCACTTTAACATCAGTATTAATAATGTGTGTTTTTTACTGTATGACAAGTAACTGGCTAATTTTGTCCAACTTCGAATTATATGTTTATATTCATAAAGTTTCCCTTACATCTTTATCTTGAATTCATAGCTACTCATTGTCAAAAAATAGATGAATTAAGAATGTTTCAGTTATTAAGCATTTCGAAAACTTGTTGATATCAAGAAGTCAGCTATGATATTAATAAAAATCTGTCACCGATAAACACTTTCAAAATGGTGACAACATGAAACATCTTTAAATACATGCTACGCGTACACAGATATATATAGAAGAATATTACAATCAATGGTTCGGAACACTGGTTTACATGTTTCGGAATTATTCATAATAATAATAATGCGAATGCATCCACTATTAGTTTTCCCATAGAGCTGAAGTTTAAATTTACCTTACCCACTTTCTTTCTTGGATCAAATTGTCTGTGGATAGTTTTTTCTATTGTGACTGACACAGTTACTACATCAACTAGGCTAATAATTTCGTCTTACTATAATGATTTGGTATGGAGACTTGAAACGATGCATATATGTTACAGGCTCCATGTTGTCTATGATCAATATTCAGTCATTGTAAGTGGACATGATCGAACAAAGTTAAAGACTTTAAGGATAGTCAGGCATAAATTCCCAAGGTGTTTCCATCATCAACTTACAACAATTAACGAACTATTTGAAAAATAAATCTTTATCTTTTAGCTTTCACCCAGAAAATGACACCAAAAATTGCCTTTCAACGTATATGTTATATCCTAGTGAAGATTAAATAACGGGTAACTTCTGAGAACTATTAATAGACTAATAGTATATACATAATCTTACTGTATAACTATTCAGTAACTAGATTATATATATACATATATTCCTCTTATTATAAGCTTTATTTTGACCTATGGACTATGATGATATGATTTACTATTCTTAAATCATATTCAGTTTATTAATTAATGACTCCCACAATCACGGCCACTTTTTTACTTGATCTTATACAAATGTTATTTCCTATTTTATGGTGTGATGTGGTCTGTTTGGGTTGTATATAAACCAGGTATGTTTGAAACAAATGAT